TGTGGAGGGTTAGGCAAGTCATAAACCTCTTGATGCTCCAGCTTCCTTCCCTATAAAATGGAGTTAACAATGATCCTTTGGGGGCTTGTTGTGAAGACAGCATGAGCTAATCATCAAGTACTCAGTCATTTCTTAGCACATAGTGGATGCTGGTCAATGTCCATTGGTCTTGCACTGAATATACAGATGCAGGCAGGGGATACGAGAAAGCTGTCTTAAGTGTCACCTACAGTAAGAACTGTCACTTGGTGGTGTGTTTTGTTACAAAAAGGCCCAGGGCACACTGGGGAGGTCTGAGAGTGAGATTGAAGGACCAAAGTCATTCTGCAAAATAAAGTCAGTGCAATTTGAATTTTTGCAGAGCTTGTGAGGGGAAGAGGGGAAGGGAGTGGAAATGGGGAGAAGGACATAAAAACAGATAGGAAGGAAAGTGAGTCTGTGCAAGAGGTGAAGGGTTAAACCCCAGGAGGAGAGCTATGCCTTGAGAAACTCCCAGTGATTGGAATAGCTGAGACTTTTGCAAGGACAAAGGAGTCTAATATTCAATTCTATGTCGTTGGCCGGGTTGCACTGGGATGTGATACACTGCCCCATCAGCTTCTCTATACACCCTAAATCCTTCTGTAGACATTCACAAATATGGGCTGCTGTTGGAACTCTGGGAAAAGCAAGGCAAAGGTGATTATATTCTGCGATTTGGGCAAATAAGCCACCTACCGTGAGCACCTGTGAGAGTTAAAATTTGGTGGAAGAAGAAAATTGGAAGGAGAAATGGCAAAGAGAAGCATGAGCCCTGCTCTCTTGGTTCTACCCCATATGTGGGATGAGATGGGACCATTTTATTTGGAAATGATTAACAGAGTGGATCCTGTGCCTAAAAGGATATGGCTGAGCCAGGTGTCAGATAAAGGTCGCATTTGCTGTCTCATTTTTTTCTCATGGTGGCTTTATGCAAGAATTATTATTAACTCCATCATCTAGACAGGAGAACAAAGATCCAGAAGATCCAGAAAGGAGAAGAGTGTGGTAAAGGTTCTCCTCCCAGCATTCTTCCTAGCTCACCACTCATGAGGGTGGCCATTGACTGGGGGCTATTCTTACCGGAGGCTTGTGTTAGGATTCAGAAATCATTTCTTTACCAAATGCCTTGATTTTCTGTGACTTCCCTGCAGCTAAGTGTTTCCTGTGTTTACTCACTTTAACTTGTGCACATAGCCTACATCCCAGGTTCTGGGCTGCTGCTGGTTTCCTGCTGATGGTGGAAGATTTCCAGCAGCTGGTGACAGAGGGCTCCCTGGAAGATGTCTGGTTCCCCCCTTGCCCTGCCTAGTGACAAACCACATACTGCCCCTGGCACTTCCTCCTAAGAGTATCTGGAAGATGATGCCCCTCTGCCTGACATGTCTTACAATGGTTTTCTTCAAAAGGGACAATCTGCTGTATTTGTGTCTATTAAAATGTGGCTTCAGATTTCCTCAGGATTGTTGTTAGGCCTTGTTTTTCTGTCTACATATTGGACAGACGAATTATAGACTCATAAAATGTCAAAGCTGGAAGGACTCTTCCAGTTTATTTAGTACTGTTGTTGTTTAGTATTGGTGTTATGTTACAGATGAAGCACAGAGAAGAGAAAAGGCTTGCCCAAAAAACACAGCCTGCTGGTGTGGAGGTCAGTTCTGGAGCCCACCTCAAGCTACTACAGTGTCTGCAGTTTTCTGAGTTAAGAAGATCGTAGATTTGCATTAAAAGCAGGAGAAAGTCAGGGACCATAGACAGCAGGTCACTGGCATCTCATGGCTGAAACACGTCATGCAGGGGGACTAGAAAGGAGCCCTGGACTCTTGCTCTGCCATTAATGCCTTGCATGATCTTAGGCAAGTCACCTTGATTCCTTGGGCCTCAGTTCCTCATCTGCAAAATGGGAATACTAATCCCCATATTACTCTTGCTTGCTCATAGGATTGAGGCTAAAATCAGGCCAAAGGAGGTGAAGGAAGGTCTTCAACAAAAGTTTCACAGCCCTAGTGGGGATTATCATTCACATTAAAAAAAAAAATCTGGTTGTGGAAACACTGAATTATAAACTTAGTCTGGTTTTGAATTAGTTTGGGTTCTAATATTCCCAGTCATGGCCCTGATAAGAAGAAATCTGATATGTGTTCTAGTTCATGGTTCTCCAAATTTTGAACTTTATGGATCAAAGAAAATTCCCTCCCCCAAACTGAACATTCAGGAACCGACATGGAGCAGACAGCTTTTTATTTTGTCTACTGTGATCACTAAAACAAAACAAACCAACTTCAGCAAAAAGAAAACCATCTTAATTCCCATCTGTGTCAACTTCATGTTATGAAACAAGAGATACTTTAACAAAATGTAAATGTAAGAAGGACCATCTCAGAGGAAGAGTGCCCCTTACATTAAAGATAATTGGCCATGTGAAGAGGGAGCTCCTTTGTCCTTTTTCCTGATCCACTCTGGACTGAAGAAAACTTTATTGTGGGGCCAGAAGCAGTAGTTAGAGCCCCTGTATTTGGCAACCCAGGACTGAAATGCTCTACAGGGGAAGAAACAGATCCAGAAAGACTGAGGTCCCATTACCTAATCAAAAGTATCCCTGTCATGGAGACCATATTCATGTTAAAGATCGCTTTTCCCTGTCATAAAATAAAATGTTCATGCTGGGCATGGTGGCTCACACCTGTAATCCCAGCACATTGGGAGGCAGAGGCAAGAGGATTGGAGACCAGCCTGGGCAACATGGCAAAACCTTGTCTCTACAATAAATAAAAAAAAAGTAACTGGGCTTGGTGGTGCATGCCTATAGTTCCAGATAGTTGGAAGGCTGAGGCAAGAGGATTGCCTGAGCCCATGGGTTTGAGATGAGCCTGGGCAACATGGCAAAACCTCGTCTCTACAATAAATCAAAAAAAGTAGCTGGGCATGGTGGCAAGTGCCTGTAGTTTCAGATACTTGGAAGGCTGAGGCAGAAGGATCACCTGAGTCCAGAAGATCAAGGCTGCGGTGGCTGTGAGTGTGCCATTGCACTCCAGCCTGGGTGATAGTGAGACTTTGACTCAAAAAATAAATAAATAAAAATAAAATAAAACATTCTGTTCTTTCTTGGAAAATATGGGTGGAGGTGGTGATAGAACAGTGGGAGTGGGGAGGGGAAAATTATAATTACTTAGTGCATTTTGGTTTTTGCAAAGCTCCACGGGAATATGTACAACATGTTTAAATCAAACATCTAACTTCAAAACCTGGAGCAACTCCAGAGGGTCAATAAACTCTGGTTCATGAGCCAAATCCAGCCCACCACTTCATTCTATAAATAATGTTTTATGGAAACACAGTCACACCTACTTGTCTGCATATAGTATAACTACTTTAGCACTACAGCAGCAGAGCTGACTAGTTGCAACAGGGACTTCATGGACTCTAAAGCTTAATATATTTGCTATCTGGCCCATTATAGAAAAAGTTTGCCTACCTCTGCATGATACTGTGCTCCTTTTTACATTAATGTGACTGCACGGGCATAATGGGGATTGAGGTCACGTGCTAAGTAGTTCCTGCCAAGACTGAGATATTGTTGACAAAGTTGTGATGATTAATCTGCTTTGAAGGATCCAGAATCTTGTCTGTTGGGGCCTTTTGCCCCTACTTTCTAAGTCTCTGGGTGGTAGACTGCAAAAAAAAAAAAAAAAGACTAGGCTACCTGGGCTCCGTGGTTCAGCCTGTAATCCCAGCACTTTGGGAAGCTGAGGTAAGTGGATTGCCTGAGTCCACGGGTTTGAGACCAGCCCAGGCAACTTGGCAAGACCTCCCCTCTATGATAAATAAATAAATAAGTTAGCCGGGTGTGGTAGTGCACACCTGTAGTTCTGGAAGGCTGAGGCAGAAGGATTGCTGGAGCTCAGCAGGTTGACGCTGGGGTGGCTATGAGTGTGCCACTGCACTCCAGCCTGGGCGATGGAGTGAGACTCCAACTCAAAAAAAAAAAAAAGGTAAGGCTTAGGGTGTCTTGAAGGGAACTTCAAGTGTGATGCTGTCGATGTGAGGAGCTATATCCAGCCATCTGTGTCCTCTGGTCCTTAAGATGCCCTTGTGTTCCTACCCTGGTGCCTGTGTGGACCCACTTCTCCTTTACTTTTTTACCTAAGCCTCTGGTTATTAAGCTGCACGTACTAAGATGAAGGCCAATGTTCTTGGGTGAAAAGTACACTGGATTAGAGATGAGGACATTTGGGTTCTAGGTCTGGCTCTATCTGACCTTGGACAAGACACTTCACATTCCCTCTCTGGGTCTTTTCCTCCTCTGAGCAATAACAACATTAATCAGATGATCTCCAAATTTCTCATCTTCAATGTTAACTGAACTCTGCATATCATCCCTCTGGGGCTAGTAGTGACAATGTGTTAATTAGTGACTCCAGTGATTGGAAATGTAGGGAATGAGGAGGATGTCTGTTTTCACAAGCTCTCGACTTCATTATGCATTTTGGCTATTACCAGTTATTTAATTATTACTATATGCTGGTTGCCCTGCAAAGCAGTTTATAGATGAGGTCTGATGGGCTTCTTCAATATCTTGATGAGATGGGCATTATCATTCTCATTTAACAGATGAGGTGCTGAGACTCCCAGTCGGAAAGTAGAGCCAAGATTTATACCCACACTTGCGATTTCAGATTTCAAGTGCTTAACACAAAACTGCCTTGTGTTCCTGTCCATGAGATGGCCTATGCCAGAAGTAGAACTTTCATTAGTGGAAGTGCCAAGGGCTGAAGGGAGGCTTGTGGGGATAAGAGTATTGATCAGGAGCTACTCAGAAGAATCCAGAAACATCAGCTCAGGCCTGGGCAGCCCTCGCCTCCACCTCCACCCACTCTACAGCTGGGCACAGCCATGATGTTTCTGGTTATAATCAGGTACCACACCTCATGATGTCACCTGGATGATTCACTACACATTTACTCCCAATTTCAAGATCTTACCTCCTTTAAGGGGGATGTTGTCAGGTGGGTTGGGAATGGAGTCCTGCAAGAGAAGGAAAAAAAAAGCTGTATGAGATGACATTCAGTTGAAACAACTTGTCTTTTTCTTTTCCATTTTGATTGTCCTCAAAGTACTGTGCATTTTAGAATTCACCCTCCACCTGACTCTTACATTTTAAAAGTTATTTAACTGACTTAGTTTTCAATGGGCTTTCTATTCTTTGCTTGACAACCTGTCTATCAGAAATGTAAGACAATTACTATCCCCATTTCATAGGCAAGAGACATGGGATTGAGTGATATAAAATGACTTGCCCAGGCCACACAGTAAGTTTGTGGTTGTTCAGAGACCAGAACTGGGATTCTTAACTCCCTGTCTGGTGCTTTTTCCTCCTCCACATGCATTAGTTAACATAAGACTAATAAAGTGGAGCATTGAAGTATATATGCTTTTTTTTTTCATGTTTGATTCATCTGTGAAAGTATACTGTAAACATACCTGGGAAGGTACATTTCTCTCTCTCCTGTGGTTGGAAATTCTGAATAAATTGAATGTATATGCCGAACATTGTGTGGATACCATACATAATTAAGTTGGGTACTGCTCTCATGGATTTATTACAAGTTTATATTTAAAGATAATATATAAATATTTCTAAATATGTGACAAATTCAAATGCATATTATATATTATTTATTCTATAATAAACATAAATAAATACAAATGTATATTATACATTATTCTATAAAAAACATAAACACACACAAAAATATTGACATAAATAAACAGGAGGTTGATAGGAACAGTTTGTCCCAGGCTAGGGGATTGGAGAGGATGAAAAGAAAGTCGAGTTCAAGTGCTCTGAGTAAGGAGTCAACAGAAGAGAAGGGCCAGTTCTTCTTCCCTAATAAATTTCTCAGAGACTAGTTTTCCCATCCCCATCATCTCTTCCCTTTGTTTCCACTTCCACCATGGAGACTCCCCTACGATGTTCTGCTGACAAGAAATAACATATTTTATTCATGTTTTGACCTTCACAGGTTGAAATCTCCTATGGTGCATTGAATTGAAATATTAATGAAGACCTAGAGATGTATGAGCATTTACATAGGGAAAAAATTCAACTTCCCAACCTCGACCAGAGCAAAAAATTAGCAGCTGCCCACATCTTATCTTCTTGGAGTTCTGTATAAACATCCAGGACCATCTGGAGTTCCCCCTTTTATTCCAACATTTCCCTAGGAGCTCTGACCTTGGTCTTCCATGGACAGCTTGTTTTTTTTTTTTTAAGTGGATCTCTTCTCTAGCCCAAGTGGGTGGTGATGGTCAAGGAGGTCTCCTGAAGTTAAAGCTTTGTCATAGCACTCATCTGGAGATGGGGGAAGTCAGTTTAAATGTTTGAGCCTCAGCTTTTCAGGAAAGTTTTTCCCTGTCTGCTGTAGTAGTCTATGATTTTATTGCCTTAGTTGAAAGCTCTTAAACTCCCTCATCAACAAGAGTCCCTGCATGATCAATGTTTGTATACCTAACCCTGAATTGTACCCCACATCTTTATAATAAATAAATTAAAAAAAGAAAGCTCTTAAACTCACTAACAATGCTGTACATTTGTGGTCTCTCAATTACATTATTGAGAGTTTGCAGGAAAACCTGACATCACAAAATTCCCCTTTGTGTTGCCTCTGTGAGACAACAAATCATATTTCAAAATTTGATAAACAATGAATTTACTGCCAAGCATGATATGTAAATACACAAATAAAAATGTCTACATTTAAATATGGTGCTAAGATCATAGAATTCATCAGCTGCCCAGGGACATATCCACGGCCAGTAAGAGAATGCTAGCATAGCAAAACTGGTAGAGTCATCATCCCAGAGACCATTAGCAGTTGCAGAAGTTCTGAGAATCAGTTATCCACCTTGGATGAACACCTGGTCTGTGACAGGAACTATGTTAGTCATTGGAAAATAGCCTATGGATTTTATGGTTTAATTCCTAAAGCAGACATTTAGAACATACAAATATGTAATTAGAATTGCAAGTTGTGGTGAGAGCTATGAAGGGAAAAAAATCAAAGTGCTTTAAGGTGACTCCAGTGATCGGAAATATAGGGAATAATGCGCATACAAATCACCTGGGGATCTTGTTAAAATGTCCATTCTAATTCACCAAGTTTGGGTAGAGCTTGACATTCTGTATTGCAGATGAGCTCCCAGGCAATGTTGACACTCTCAGCCCACAGAACATGCTTTGAGTAGCCAGACTGTAAGAGTTAATATAGGGGAGGAAGACCTAATTTTTATGGGAGCCAGGGAAGGGCTCTCTTGTCATTTCAGTGCTTTCTGGTTTTCTAACTTCAGATGGGATGACTAAAGCAAAACATCTTAGTACAGAAAATAATCTTGTGACTTGACACTTTACCTAGGGCCCAGGAATCTAAGTGTGACAAACCCTATTTTGAAGAGCTCTTGGGATGAGGTCTCTATAGCTTCCCCCAGCTACCCATTCTAGTCAAGATTAGAGAATCAAAGTCAGAAGGAAATTTAGAAATATTTCAGACCATCAAACTAATTTTATGGAGAAGGAAACTTAGGCATTCATAAATCAGCAGTAGATCCTAGACTGAAATTCTCTGGTGTACTTTTCATTGTCCCAGGAGAGCTGCTGTCTTCAGAAACCAAGGATAGGAAAGTTTCTTCCTTCCTTCTCCATTCCCATAAGCAGTCCTCACATTTGGAGGCGGAGGACTGGGTTCTAAAGAGATAATGACTGTTAAAATTTGCTGAAGACTATTTACGCCCCAGATACTATGCTAAGTGTTGCTTACCAGCTCCTCTTTGACAAGGTGTCCCCCAGTCCTAGAACTCTCTCTTAAATCTTGTCTGGGATCTGGGTCCTGGCTGAGGAAATGTGAACCATTTTGCTCAGTGACTTAGCTTTGAGTAAGGTAGGATGTACAAAGACACAGACAAATGGACCTTCCCAGGTTGCCATTCTCAGATCCATTGAGTAGGTCAGGAAACTTTATCTCCATGGTTACTAACTAGCCACACTTCCTTAAGAGTACTTCCTTTTTTATTTTTGGCTTCTATGCTTGTTTAATGAGTATCACTGACAGTTATAAAGAAATTCCACGTATGAAGGGAAGAATGGTCATGTTTAACCTGTTTGTTGCAGGTGAAATGACCCCCATTTCAATAATTTTCCCTGCCTATAGCTGTTTTATCCTTTAATCATTGTGATTAGAGAACTAATAATCCATCCTTCCATTGGGTTGTTGCAGATATAATAAGATATTGTGTATAAAGCATTAGGAAGTAATTAAAAATGGTAACTATTTTGGTCACCAACTTGATCTTTATGATATGCTTAATTTGAACCAATACTTTGAAAGATTTCTCTTCACAGAGCAATGATGTTCAGGTATAACCAGCTCCCAAATTGCTTTTGACAAAAAAATGCCCTCTCTCTCCGAAAATGATCCAAGGAAACTAATGTTTAGAATATGCTAGGAGGAATTTCTCATTCCCTTCCTTGGTGGCCTCACACACTCTTGTAAAGGTGGGCTTTGACTCATGGATCATGGAGATCTTTGCCAGGAATGCCTCTTATTTTCAAGTTAACATGATTGAGCACTTAATGAGGGTTGCTCCTGATGCTAAATGCTTCCCATGTATTATTTTATTTGACCTTTATCTTAACCCCAAAAGCTAGGGATTCACTAAGACTTAAATGAGTAATTATATGGTGTAATGATGATTACAGAAGGTCCCACAGGTGGTGCATAGCGTGTAATGATTCAAACTCAGATGAGCTGACTTTGAAGGTGATGTTCTTCAATACCTTGCTATTTTGCCCTTCTAAATTAGGGGAGGATGAAGCTGAGCAGCAAATTCTCTTGAAACTCAATTGGAAAGTGAATGGAGGTCATGGGAAATCCTCAGGGGAAGGACTATTTTTACTGGGAGGACCTGGCTTGGCATGGGCTACAAAAGTGGGCATTGGACCAGAGTGGCTTAAAGCAGGGCTTCTCCCACTTTCGAGTGCTTACCATCACCTGGGGATCTTGTTGAAATGCAGATTCTGATTCAGTAGGCCAGGGATGGCAGCTTAGGTTTTGCATTTCTAACGAGCTTCCAGATGATGCCAGTGTTTTTGGGCTATGGACCACAACTTGAGTAGAAAGGACTTAAAGACATTATTCAGTAGGCAGTCAGAACACCTGAAGTCTTAAGAGCTGGCTCTAGGAGGTTGAAGGTGGATTTGGGCTTGGATATGGGTTTAGGAAATTATTCTGGTTTGGAGATGAGAGTGGCTTTTTGCCAACTACTTCAACTTCCTGCTGCTTTGTACAGTATGAACTGGCCTCTGTTGTGGCCCTACCACTTCCCTCCTCACATCTGGGCTTGCCTTCTTCTGGGCTGTGCCTCTGAGAACTCTTTTGCCTCACCTGGAATACCCTGCCCTACCTCCTTCTGCCAGCATCCTTCTAATGGAGAGCTCTTTGCTGCAGAGGGCTGCCAGCTAATACATGTGGAAGGTGTTAGACTTAGACAGTCATGCTTCTTCAACCCCAGTGCATAAGCTGATTCAGACAAGGATCATCAAGAAATGCAAAAACCACCAAGGAAAGGATAGTTATGTCTTCAAAATATTACCCATAGATTACTTATAAGAAAGAAAAAAATGTTTTACAAAAGAGATAGTTGGTAGTCACCATCTTAATCAAGTGACTAAACATATAATTACACAAAATGGGACAACCTGATATATGCCTCTAGCCATGCTACAATAAGAAATATATAACATTACCTGTGAACTATTCTTGCCAAAAATGTTTCCTCTGAATATAATCCTAAGTAAACACTAAGACAAACTCAAACCATGAACTGCTCTATAATAGAATTTTCCTGGACCCTTAAAAAAACTCAGTGTCATGAAAAACAAGCAAGGGGCAGGGGAGATTTTAGAGGAGTGTTTCTCAAACTTTAGTGTGCATGCAGATCACCTGAGACGTTGTTAAAATGCAGATTTAGATTCAGTACATCTGGGGTAAGGCCTGAGATTCTGTATTTCTAACGAGCATCCAGGGTCACTTTTTAAGTAGCAATGTTCTAGGTCAAAACAGACATAATCATAATATGGTGTATGACTCTGGATTGGATGACACAAACAAAATAGAAAACAACAGCTATAGAAGACAGTTTTGGACAAATGAGGATACTGAAATGTGGTCTGTATATTATTATTAGGTGATATTCCTAAATTAATGTGAAAGCTCTTGGCTGTGATACCTTAAGAGATGAACACTGAAGCGCATGTGGAGAAAGGTCATGCTGTCTGCAACTGACTTTCATATGCAAATACAGCAAGATAGTGACATACCAACCTAGGAAAAATGTTATACGGGAATTTGCCATTCTCCTTTTCTGTAGGTTTGAAAATTTTCAAAATAAAACTTTGGGCATAAGACATGATCCTTCTGAATTTTGGAACCTAGCTTTTGTTCCAACTCTTCTGCAAACTCCTTTATCCTAAGCAGAAATTACCTCTCCTCTGGCTTGTGGCATTCTGTGCCATTCTACCTGGAACTCAAGCACTTGGTGTTAGGGTTTTATCTTTTCTATTTAGCAGAGAGTTCCCAGAATACTGTGTCCTGCCCTGTCCACATGGGTCCTTCTCTTACAGCCCAGCACAGGGTTTGCTCCTGAGAGGATTTTCAGTGGAATTTTTTGGATTAATAAATGAAGTAAATGTTAGGGGAAGGGAGTACCCTGAATAGAAAGAAGCACCATAGGACATTTCAACTCCTATATTGTATCTGAGCTTAGAAACCAACCAAAAAATCAAAAACAAAAACAAAAAAATGAACCCCATGCCACCATCAACAACCACTGCTCTTAAACAGGTGCTCAGGTCTACTGTTGGTGTGAATGTGGAGTGGTACCATAAGGATACATTTAAAAAAAATTCTTTGCTTATAAAGAATTTGCTTTCTTCCTAGAAATGGTCTACTTCAAAACCTAACAATGCTGCGCCTTGCCCTAACATTTGGAATGTAATAATTTATATTCTTTCCGGGGGCTAGATACACCCAGTGTCCTAGTTTACAAAACAGAGATATCTCTTAAATTAAATGATAAGAGCCTCATTGAAATGTATATACCTACCTCTGGTGTTAAGCTGGAGATCTATCTCATTATGTATTCCTTTGCCTCTTGAGGAGATAAGAGAATTTTTATTGTCTTTTTCTTTTACTTTGCTATGTGGAATTCCATACTGACTTTATATTCTCTTGTAGGCCACCTATATGCATGTACTCTTATGCTTATTTAACAATAAATCATTTTTTTCTTTCCATATTTATGTAGAGGTAACTCTTTGGTAGTAGGAATTTTACTTCTTTAAGTTTATACTGATGCAATCTCTGTGAAAGCTGATTGATAACATTTATGAAGTGAAATTCAATAAATTCTTGTGGAGGAACATTCTAATTCCACCACTAAAAATTCATCCCATAGATATACTTGCAGGTGTGCACAGAGGGCAAAATTTCTAGAGAAACATATTGGTGTCCTCACTAGGCACAGATAAATTATGAAGCCTCCTACAATAGAGGTACAGAATACACTGTGACTCTTCAAAAAAATAAAATGAACTTCTATGTATTGAGATAGAAGGATCTCTAAGATATGTAGTGTACTGTCAAATGAATAAAGACAAGTGCAAAATGATAGGTTTAACGTAGTGACATGTGTATACTATGTATCTGTAAATGCACAGATTTTTGGAAGGGCATACATGAATCTGTTGATAGTGGTTAGATCAGCAAAGAGAGTGGTGGTTGAGTAGGAAGACTTTTACTTTTCTTTCTTTTCCCTTATTTGCTGGTTACTTTTCTTAAACTATGTTAATAAAATATTTTATAATAAATATTCTAGTTTAAATGTAAATAAAACAAAATAACTACCACAGTGACTTTAAATATGTCACTAGAAAGTAAGTTCCACGAGCAACCCCAGTATAGGGATTTTGTTGATTTTGTTCAAAGATATATACCTGATGCTTAGGACAGTGTCTTATGCACTGTAGATACTCAATAACTATTTGAGATTGAAACCAAAGCTCCCTCTTTGTCTCTCTCAAGGGGTGTGATCTTGGAGTTATTTGATCGTCAAACCAAACCTCAAGGCAATCTTTGTTGATTTCCTACATGTCCTGTATCTTCTCTTCTCCATCCCTTTGCTCATGCTTTTCCATTGGCCAGGAATGTCACTCCTCTGTTCTCCCCTCTCTGCCTATTCAAAATTGTTCACATTTCTCAAGCCAATCTGAAACTCCAATCTCCAGTGAAGTTTTTCTTAAACCTGCTGGAGTAAACACTCTCTCTCCCTAACTTGTGGTCTCATGGTAGTCCTATGTGTCTATCTACTATCATTTATTACATATTAAGACTTTGCTGTTTTGAATTTGTCTACACGTGCACCTTTTGATGTAGAACTGCATGACTTCTCATGCCAGTAAGACCATTCTTATGGTTCTCCAACCCGGTCTCCATTAAAGCGCTATGTGACCAGCAACTCAATCCATTTTTAATAATGGGGATATGAGTCTGTGCTCCTTGGGTTTCTTCTATCTATTTCCTTCCCAAAGTTCCCTTTAGAGTCTCTTTGCTTGCCTAAGTTCTTCCTGTTTTAAAGTCAGTCTACATTCCTTCCTCCTATAGGAAGCATTTCTTGATAATTCAAGCTCAAGAAAATAATGTTTTCTTCTTAGTTCTTATAACAGTTAATGTCTGAGCAATGCATTGGAAATGATATATTTTAAAGCACTTGACACTTAAAGTATCATTTCTTGAGTAAAGAAATCACGGCACACCAAGCCATACAATTAGATCATGGAGTGAATCTTTTCATAGCAAAGAATGAGGGGTAAGTCAAGAAAATGGATGTACATGAAGTTACAGTTCCCAAGAGAAGAGCGAGAACAAAGTTTCTTAGTGCTTCTGGGGCTATCTGTATGGGCAAAGGGAATACTGTTCTCACTAAACAATCATGTATCTTGACTTTACTACTTTCTCACAGTGACTTAGTTCAAGTCTTGTTCCTCCTCTGTTCCTCATTTTCCACATTTACAAAAGTGAGGCAGAGAGATTCACTCCAGTTCTTTCACAGAAGAAATCAAATTAATTTAACTAAAACCTGAATATGAACGAAGACAATCCTGGAGGTCTCTCTAACAGCATACACCACCATCACCATCCCTCCCTCTACGATGTCCATCTTTCTCTCAGTTAATAGTTCTATCTGTATCTTGCAACTAAATCACTTCTTAAAGCTCACTTCAATTTCTTTTCTTTGGTCATTTCTATAAAATGACACATCTTTGACTTATTCCAGATTAGAATTATGGACATTGCAGAGCTTCTACAGAAGAAAAAGTGTCCTAGGATGTTTTCAAGAATATTATTCTTAGTAGATGTAGATGAGACTATTAAATTCTGAGTTTTACAAATTTCATTATCTAAATCAAATGTTTGCAATTCCCTTTTTTCACTTTCATGGAGATATAAGCTTCAAAGCTTCATTTAATTTTAAAGTTTGATGACACTTGAGAAATAGATATCAGCGCCTTTTAAACCGACTTCTTTTCAGCAATTGATAAATTATATAGAGTAGTCAACCCAAGACAACTGAAGAAAAACCAGAACAAATTTTGCAGTTATAATACAATGAAAAGTGGGAGCTATATAGTAAGAAATGGAAATATTCTCACTAAGGCAAGGTGTGTGTAGGGGTGCAATTCTTAAATTACCAAAATTAACAAAAACTTTACTTCATCAAAAAAATTCATGAGCAATATATGCTGTTAGTACATACAATATTTCCTATACAATATGCACTGGTGGATTCTCTGTAAACACCATCTTCTCGAAATATGAAGACGCTTCCTCCTTCATCTATTCTGTTTTCAGAAACAAATCTTATCATTTGTTTCACAAAGTAACTCTCCTGAGAGACTGGTTGACCCTGTACAGTGTGTACCCCACAATTGCTTGGCATTCTGAAAAGTCTCTGAGAGAATTCGTGTTAAAAACATTTTTACTTTCTACCTCTATGCACTGTTTCTTGCGACACCCTAACTTCTTCAAAGCCGTGGTTTATAAGAAAGCTTTCGATTTGTCTTGTGGTATTTAATGCTGAAATACCCAAAGCTCTAAGGAGCCTTGATCTCTCTTGCTTTCTTCCTTCTAGACCTTGGCCTCTGAAACTTAGCTCTCTGTTAAAACAAACAAGCAAACAAACTCTTGGCAATGGACAGAACCTCAAAAAATTCCAGAACAATTGAACTGAGACTATAGAACCTCAGGATTTAGTCTGAAGGCCTTGAAGACATGATAGTTGTGCAAACATGCTATCAGATTTCCTTATTGCTTCCTTTCTTGCTAAGTGTCTCTGGCTCAGTCAGATTTAAATCTTAATTTCTCAAGGCCAACAGCTCCTCTCTACTCTTTTGCTCAGGCAGGCCCAGAACTTTTTGAGCTGATGGCCCAACAATGCTTTTCCCAATAAGTCATATTATTTCAGAGAGTTAAGTTCCTTTTTCTTCTCTTCCTTCCCCTACTGTATATACACATAATAATTATATATTATATTTACATATATAATTGTATTTATTTTTATTTATTTAATTTTTTTGCTCTCAACTAACTCATCAGTTTGTTCCCAGGGCTTTGTCTCTAGGGGAAACAACATAAATCAGAAAGGCAAAGTGAGGAAGAGGAGTCCACTTACCGTCCTCTGAACAACCAACACCATAATGGTTGCCACCGTGAAGACCAGGCAGAGAGCCAGCGTGGCTGTGGTGAAACAGAAGTAGCTGCGGCTCGTGGTCCCCCAGTGGCTGGCCACAGAGCCCGCCGGCACATGCATGGCTGTGACTCCAGAAGGGGCCACTCGGTTGAGTGATCGCTGCAGCCGTGGGTCCACTCTTTATATAGTCTTCCCCACATCACACCTTATCTCTCTTCATCTGATTCGGTTCTGGGCCCATCTCGGTTCCAAGAAGGATTGTCCCCCTGCATCCTGAATCATGTGACTTGGAAAAAAACCTTCACCGGCTGTCTGGCGGAGAAACTCTTCTCTGGGGGCGTGAGGCGGGAGGCGGCAGCAAGGGTAGGGGAGAGGCTCATTTTTCTTTGCCAGGGATTAATTTGAGTGCAGAGAAACGGTAGCTACAGAGAAGGTGGCTGATGTCAGAGGGTGCATAGGAAAATGACGGTTCCCTGATTCAGTGTGTGTGTGTGTGTGTGTGTGTGTGTGTGTGTGTGTGTGTGTGTGTGTGTGTGTGTGTATGTGTGTGTGTGTGCGCGCGCATACAGTAACTTCTGTTTCATTTAGATTCGGCCACAAAACGCCTTCCTGCTCCAGAAGCTGCACCTTCTTATAGCTAGGCCTGCGGTTCAGAGGACCTCTTCAGACAATGTGCTGTTGCCAGGTCCCGGGGAGTCTGGGTCCCTGGACTGCAGTATAGTAACTCCAAAGTGTTCGATTTCATCATTTTGGCTTCTGCTGAAAGGAAGGGCCCACAAATGGGGAGATTTATCCGAAAGGGGACAAGCTCCTGGCAGTATGAAATCTGGGAACAGGCTCAAAGATATGGTTAGAGAGCAGGAATCTGGAAACATTGATCATTTGAACAAAAACTCCTGCAGAATGTTAAACTTGCAGAGAAACCAGGGCCTGCCATAAAACTCTTCAAAAGGGGGAGGAATAAGTGGTGAGGGTGAAGGAGGGGAGGCCGTGTGGTGTGGGATGTGGGGGGCATGTGTGAGTTCTGTATGGTGTACTGTGTGGTGAGTGTGTATTTGTGGTGTGTTCTGTATGATGCATGCATGCAGGGTGTGCTTGGTGTGTGCATTTGTGATGTGTGGTGCATGCAGCATGTGGGGTGTATGTGTGTTGTGTATGTGACTATTGTAATTTAACCTCTACTGTCTCAAGCACAGCGCTGGGAACTTTACATATGGCCTCATTCCACCTTCACCTCCCTCCTCAGAGGCAGTTCATATTTCTTTTTAATAGATGGGAACATTGAAGCTCAGAGAAGATGACAACTTTCTCAACCAAAGCTGCAAATGTTGATCACTGAAAGAACTTGGGTACACATCCCATTCTGCTGGGACCAAAGCCGGGCAAAGTCATTCAATTGCCACTGCACTTGAAGGCTGAAAACCTGAGGGCTGGTCTCAACCCTTCCCCTTCTTAGCCTTGGGTCCTTGTGCAAGTCCTACTACCTTCCCTTGTCCCAGTCAACGTTACAGTCATCGGGAAGATTAACGAGACTATGTAAGAGGACTCCATGAATGGAAATAGACTTGGCGGTGGTGTTGGGGAATTCCTGTTAAACACCTCATCTGGAATTTAGGTAGGTTCAATAGGCACCTTCTCTGGGGGACAGAGCTGGGTCACATCTGTGGTTGCTAATGAGCTCCATTTCAAAACACCATTTAAAAGGTTAATCCCTGAATAGCTTCTGCCTTCAGATGTGGCTCTTGAAAACTCCACTTGGCATCACCCTGGAAGTAGCCCATTCTTTGGAATACCTCCTGCCCTTTCTGTTCATTTTTTTGCCTGCGGTGTATCACTGAGCCAGTGGAGATCCCAGACCCCACTTGGGAAAGGTCCTGTGTCCAAAGCCAAGCTTGGATTATTACCACAGCCATGCTTGCATAGATGCAACACTTCCAAGCATTGCCTGAGTGAGGCCAGACTTCAGGAGTTTGCCTGGATATCTTTTTCCAGTGAATCCATACCAGCACTGATCCTGGAGACAGAAGAGATATCAAGAGATAAATTGTTCTCTTGAGCTAAAGAGAGTGGTATACCCATTTTACGGTCAAGGAAGCTGAGTCCCCCTTGGTCCCAAGTTGAGCTTGGTTTAGGGAGAAGTGGGAATGAGGCAAGTCAGTGTTATTTGGGCATGTACCTGGCTGATTTGGGGAGAAGGCTGTGTCCTCTGGTGGGCACAGACAATGAGTGGGTAGCAGGGGCTCTGTGGTCTGCTCAGAGCTGCTGAGAACAGGCTGCTCCCTCGGCCCTCTGGTTCAGCCTCTTTGATCAAAGTGGAAAACTTCTGATTGTTGAATGGAAGCTGTGGGTGTTGAAAAATAAAAAGGCTTTGCTTGAAGTTCAGGTCTTCCTGAAGGCCTTGTGAGGCTGAGAAGGGCAGTGGAAAAAAATGTTTGTCTTACAGTTACTCATTTTGCATACAGTATAGTGTCCTGGGAGGGAAGGCTGACAAGGGGAAAATCAACCTTTGTTTTTACTAAGAACCTTCTGAGCAGTAGAGATTTTCAGATCAGTTTCTAGCATGGGAGTTTGTAGGTCCAATTTTATGCCTTTTGTTGTGGCACTCCTCCACTTACAGACCCTCAATGGCTCCCTACTTCTCACCCTCCTTGTTCTAAGCCCCTTTCTGCTTTCTGGTGGTTCCAGAATCTAGCTTGGCCAACCAAGGAGTCCATCCCTGTGTTAACTGATTCCTTTCTGTCTTCTACACAAGCTACCCAATGTACAAATAAAAGGAGCCTTTACAGAGTTTCTTGAGATATTTTCAAATCCTTTCTAGAAGCAAGACTGTACAGGAAGAGTACAATTTTAAGAAAACATATTTCCTCTGGCTGAAACAGGCGGGACAGAGAGAAGGGCTAAGCCCAACCTCTAATTAGTTGCTGAGGTATGGCTGCATTCATCCTTTACTGGCCTGGGGTGTTTCCAAGATGAACACAATTTAGGAACCTGTGATTTAGACCAAATCCCTCATTTCTTAAATGAGGAAACTGAGATACAGAAATGAGAAGGACTTGAAGTGCACACGGGGAAGAACAGAAACAGGCTTGAGTCCCCTCTGTCGGTTCTCATGCCCTCTCTGCTAATATTCCAGGCAGGTGCAGGCTTCCCTTCATGTTTTCTTCACCTTTCCACAGCTTTAATCCTTCCTGTTCCTTCAAGCCCCTGCCAGTCTGCTTTACCTCCTCCTGGAAAACTTGCCCAGATCTCTCAAGTCCACCAACACCTTCTCCCCCAAACCCTCTATCTCCATGCCACATAATGCAGTTATCTAATTATCTATTTGTCTTGACTGTCAAGTGTGTGAACACGTGTGAATTTTGCCTTCTTCATGAGATTAGAGGCCTGAGGGCTGTCTGTACTTTCCCAGTCTTCTTGCTTTACTTGGTACTGGGCCTATGTATGGTCAACCCTCAATCAATGCTTGTATTGACTTTGTGTTCATGGAAAGATAAAGTTCTAGAAAGAAGGTTTCTATAAAGGAATTGTATGGTGTCATTTTTGCTTTTCATCTATGTTCTCATTCTTCTCTTTCAGAGAATGGTCCCATGAGAATGACCATCAGCCTCCTTTCAGTCTGGAATTAGTTGCTGCGATATGACTGCATCACCTGAGACTCAGTGGGCAAATAAAATTAATTTCCCATCCATTCAAGAAGAGACCCCCTTCAAAAAAATTAAAAAGGAGCCAGCTGTAGTTCCTCCCATTTCTTTCCTATATAAGGGACCAAGATCTCTGTCATATAGACTAGTGTAGTCCCCAGACCAGCAACTTCAGCCTCAGCACTATCTGGAAACTCAGTGGAACTTCAAGACCTATTAAACCTACTGATTCAGAAACTCAGACTGGGTTCTAGGAATCTGTAATTTTTTTTTTTTTTTTTTTTTGAGTTGGAGTCTCACTCTGTTGCTCAGACTGGAGTGCAGTGGCCGCTCCCGGCCACCGCAGCCTCACTTGCTGGGCTCCGGCGATCCTTCTGCCTCAGCCTTCCGAGTAGCCGGAATTACAGGCATGCGCTACCACACCCGGCTGATTTTTTGATTTTTATTGTAGAGATGAGGTCTCGCTGCCCAGGCGGGTCTTGAACCCACGGGCTCAGGCAATCCACTCACCTCAGCCTCCCAAAGGCGCGGGATTACAGGCTGAGCCACCGAGCCCGGCTCAGGAATCTGTAATTTATTTTATTTTTATCAGATAATTTTATTTTGTGTTTTTGTCAATCTGTCATCCAGGCTGGAATACAGTGGCACAATCAAGGATCACCACAGCCTCTACATTCTGGGCCCAGACGATCCTTCCACCTCAGCCTCCTAAGTAGCTGGGAGTGCAGGTGTGCACCACCATGCCCGGCCACTTTTTATTTTTTTGTAGAGGTGAGGTCTTGCTATGTTGTCCACATTAGTTTTGAATCCCTAAGTGTAAGCAATCCTCTTGCCTCAGCCTTCCAAACTGCTAGGATTAGAGGCATGAGATACTGCACCCAGCAGGAATCTGTGTTTTAACTAGCACCCCAGGGAATTCAGATGCTTAAAACCATTTGGAGTAAAGGAAACTCTTTTACACTGTTGGTGGGAATGTAAACTAGTGTAGTCACTATGGAGAACAGTATGGAGGTTCCTCAAGAAGTTGATCTAGCAATTCTACTACTGGGTATCTACCCAAGGGAAAAGAACTCAGTATATCAAAGGGACACATGCACTTCCATGTTTACTGCAGTACTATTTACAATAGCAAAGATAAGGAATCAACCTAAGTGTCCATCATTGAATGAATGGATAAAGAAAATGTTGTATACATACACAGTGAAATACTATGTGGCCATAAAAAGGAATCAAAGCATGTCATTTACATCAGTGTAGGTAGAACTGGAGGTCATAACCTCAAGTGAAATAAGTGAGGCACAAAAAGACAAATATCACATGTTGTCAGTTACATGTGGGAGCTAAAACATCTGATCACATGAAGATAGAAAGTGGAAAGACAGAGAACAGAAACTGGGAAGGATGAGTGGGGGAGGGGGCAGACAAAGAGCAGTGGGATAAAGGGTGCAAACATACAGTTAGATGGAAGCCATATACTCAGTGTTTGATTGCAGAGTAGGGTGACTGTAGTTAAACAAAAATGTTTTATACTAGGGAGATGGACCCCCTAAATACCCTGGCATGATCACTACACATTATATATACATAGCAAAATCTTAAATCTACCCAAGGGAAGATTTAAATTTGCCCCATAAATTTATACAAGTGAAAAAAAGAAACTCTTTAATTTAGCATTTTTACTAATGTCTGCATTGATAATTCATGCTTCATGTGAAAAGATTCTCTTTGGTATTTACTAATTGTAGAGGAGTTATGTGTTCTGGTTGATGCATGACAAAAATAGACTACTGAAGAGGGCATGGAGCTGAAACGGAGGTGGGGCAGAAGACAACTGGGAGAGATAGGTACACTTTGTGTCAAGATAATATGTGTGTGTGTGTGTGTGTGTGTGTGTGTGTGTGTTTATAAGCAATATGCATCTCTACCTGTCTCATGTCTGCCTGTCTATCTAACAATCATCTTCCTGTAAACTTTAAAAAGGTTTGAGGCAACATAAAATAAATGTACAGTATATAAAAACTGAGGACATTAATACAAAGTAAAAGGTAGGAGTCAAGATATAAAGGCAGACAGTAAAGTGACTGTATTAGGAAATCTTGACTGATGACTGTTTTAGTAGTTGAGCATAACATGTATACCTATGAGCTTCCTGGTAACCAGGGCAAAGAAGGAAACACATTGGATTGCATAACTCTCTTTGGCTATAAAAAAGTAGATGAGCGCAAAAGGAGAGATGGATACTTTACTGGTTATATAAGAGCACTGAAATATATTGCATATTCCAAAATACAAGATGATTGTAATCTATGAATTTAAGGCATGCCATTGCAATACATTTGGTTAAGATCTTACTAAGTGAACATATTGAAACATTTAAAAAGAAATGTGGTTTTATGATTTTTGGTGATGCAGAACTAACAATAAACCAATACTATGGAAGTGGGAGAGTCAAGGAAAGAAACAAACTATCAAACAAAAAAGAAAGAACATCACTTTTTTGACCTCTATGGGTTTCTAGTACAGATAAAGGGCTAGAAAGCTCTGTTAGTTATATAGTCATTAACTCCATTGTTATTCAAAGGAGACACATCTGCACTTTTTTTTGAAAAATGAGAAAATGTCCTTCCATATCAACAAATACAGTGATGGATACAGGAAGAGACATCATCCATTGAGCATTTGAGAGCTTAATATGTGCTAGGCACTGTCAATATGGCAGTGAACAAGCTAAACATCACCCCTGCTTTCTTGAAACTTAAAACCAGGTGGATAAGATGGGCAATTATATAAGTAATTACTATAGAACATGATTTATATTAATAACAGACATTTTAGGGTGTTTTGTACATACAGTGGGGAAACCTCAAGCTGACCAAAGGGACTTCCTTGAGGTTAACTCTTTGACCTCTACACCAGTTTAATGAGTAAGAATCCACCTCAAACTTTTACTAGGTCATTTCACTCCTTTCCTCTTCCAGTTTAAAATCTTTCAGCATCTCTCCTTGCCTGCAGAATCCTGGTCATGTTTCCTCATAAGGCCTCTCTGGCCTTTCCTAAGCTTTGCTTTCAGCCTCTCATCCCACTAAGTTCCTACCTCCACTTCAGGTACCCAGCTTTATTCCAATCCTCATACCTGCTGATCCCTTCCCTGACTCAGCTTTGGTGCAGGTAGTGTCCTCACTACAACATCGAATGTCCTTTCTTATATCTCTTGCTCTTGCAATTCAATGCATTAACAAAAAAGTTGCTGTTCAAATATTGTCTTTTCTCTGTGTTCTGTCTCTCAACTTCCAGAAAAAAAAAAATTGACCTCTCTTTCCTCTGTAGGGTTTCATAGCAAGCGTTTGGTTGCACTCAATAATGATGGGAGTAATGGTAATTATTTTTTGGTTACAACTGCTACAGTGAGTTCATATTATGTGCCAAGCACATTATACTCATAATTTCACCAAAGTTTACAATAATCTTGTTAGTGCTATTATTCTCATTTGGCAGATAAGAAAACTGAGGCATGGGGTGCAAAATCACTTTTCCAAGTTCTTACTGCTATGGAGTGATGGAGCTGGTATTGTGACCCAGGTCTGCCTGACTCCAGAGCAAGTTGCTGTAATGACTATGTAATTATATTATTTGTATTCTTGGTAGCTCCATAGGGCTCTACCCAAATACACTGTAAGCACCTGAGAATACAGCATGTGACTGGTACATGTTTATGACTATCAGGCTCCCAATAAAAACAATACATTTCCTTGTAATTTTAAATTTACATGGTATTGGAGAAAACATTATTTGTTTTAAGGTCTTTTTGTTATATTTAATAATGAGGTTCAAGCATGAAACTGACCCAGAAAAGAGAACCCAGGGCTGGCTTTCCCTTTGGTTCCCTCTTACTGCCTTCCATCCTACAAATTCCTATTTCTCTCCACTCTAGTCCTGACCTCTCGGTGCAGATACTCACACATGTCTTTGAAACAGAAGCAGACAGAAAGTGTGGCATATAAATGTCTGAAGGAACTGGTGTCTTCTTGGAATGCCTGGAACATAATTGGTATGCAAAAAATTTGGATGAGCAA